AAAGTAAGAAGCATTTTATGATTCATGATTTCAGTTTACTAGACTGAAGTTTTGAAGTAAACATTTTTCAGGTTCTTTCTACTTCAATAAATAGTATGATGATATGCAAACCTTACATTGTCATTTTAACTTCTTAATATTTTTTTAAAGCATACTGTTTAATGAATTTAACTGCTCATTTGAGTGCTAGCTTTCTTCAGATTTCAACATTCCATTCAGTGTTTAACTTTTTTGTCTTAAACTTGAAATTGTTGTTGTAAATTTAATTGCTAGGAGGCATGGATAGCAAACATTATTATGAATAGCATACCTTATTTCAGTGGTTTTCAAACTATGCTCATTGGATGTCCAGGTGGGTCATCAAGTTACTTTCAACCACAGCTTCTCTGCCTTGTCTCTTTATGTGCCACTTGAGGTGTCTGCATAAGGCTTAAGTATTTTAAAGGGGGCAGTTATCATTTAAAAACAGTTTGGTCGGGCGCGGTGGCTCATGCCTGTAATCCCAGCACTTTGGGAGGCCGAGGCGGGTGGATCACCTGAGGTCAGGAATTCGAGAACAGCCTGGCTAACATGGTGAAACGCCGTCTCTACTAAAAATGCAAAAATTAGCTGGGCGTGGTGGTGGGCGCCGGTAGTCCCAGCTACTCAGGAGGCTGAGGTATTAGAATTGCTTGAACCCAGGAGACGGAGGTTGCAGTGAGCCGAGATCGCACCACTGCACTCCAGCCTGGGCGACAGAGCGATACTCCATCTGAAAAGAAACAAACAAAAAACAGTTTGTGGCCAGGTGCGTGGCTCACGCCTGTAATCCCAGCACTTCGGGAGGCCAAGGCGGGTGGATCACGAGGTCAGGAGATTGAGACCATCCTGGCCAACATGGTCAAACCGTGTCTCTACTAAAAACAGAAAAATTAGTTGGGCGTGGTGGCACATGCCTGTAGTCCCAGCTCCTTGGGAGGTTAAGGCAGGAGAATCGCTTGAACCCGGGAGGCAGAGGTGGCAGTGAGCCGAGATTGCCACTGCACTCCAGCCTGGTGACAGAGCAAGACTTTGTCTCAAAAAAAAAAAAAAAAGTTTGAAAACCATTGGTATAGATAGATATTTTGAATTGATATGCATAGTCTCCTTGAATGTGTTAAATTATGTTGAAAGTATGAAAGCAGGATGTAGGTGGTACTATATATTAAATAAGATTTATATAACATGTGCCTGTGTCCTGATTCAGTATTACTGTGTCCTGTAACCTTGAAATGGAGAGGAGGTAAGAGGGACATTTTTTTATGTCTGTCTGCATTAAACATGTGTTGAGGCATCCAAGACCCTTCACATTTCAGGTTTTTATTGGTTTAAAACCTCTTTCCGGTTTGTATTGGTTTGTCTTTGCTAAATACAGTATGTTACTCTGCAAGTCACATATAAGTAGACCTTATGACATTTCCAGTTGAAACTAGGCTTGTTTTCGGTACACAGGTGAAGACTTGAGGAAGCCAGTGCCAGGGAGGACGTGCCTCACCCCTCTGCTGGCTGAATGCGCTTCATCCGCTTACGCTTTGCTTTCTGTATGCTTTCTGTCCTTCTGGGTGGTGTCGTGTATATTTTTAAAACCACATTCAGTGTGATGAACACTTGTTGGTACACTTCTAAGGTTAGTCATCTTTCCTTCTCCACGCAGATCCTTGAGAAGGGCATTGACAGTGGATGCGTTAAATAGTGTTCAGTGGTTACCAGTAATCATATTTTTTGGTGGATGTCGTGAAAACACATGACATCGTGTTGTGCCCGTGATCATTATCCTGACTTTTTATTTGGTGAGGTGTGCTGGTCAAAGAGACAGACGTGGCTGCCTTCTCTGGTAACAGCCAGAGGAAAAAGTTAGCAATTCTAGATGGGCTCTACAGCTTTAAAAAAACTGGTTGTATCCTTAGGTCCTCATGATATTAAATAATTTCTAATTTTAACAGATTTTAAGAGTCAGATATTATACTTTGACTTGAATGAGGTAGTGTTGCTTTCTGAATAGGTTAAGGAAGAAAAAATTTTACAAAACGGTTTTTTTTTTATTTTCAGGAGTTTTTAATTCGTATCTAGCTCATTTCCACTCATATCTATTTCTGCTAATAGATTGACAGCAACCTTTGGTTTAATGCCATGTTCTCTGACTACACCAAGAAGTTATATATTCCTTTCCAATGTTAGCCAAGTATTTCTTTTATGTTAGCCTATGACTGACTTTTATTTGTGCTTGCACATACATAGAATGTAAAAATATAATTCTTCATGTTTAATGTATCCATATAAAAATGAAAATACTCATTTTCTGCATTCTTAAAGAGTTTAAAAAAGTAACATGTAATAAGTACATGGAGGACTTTAGAGCAATATAAAGGCCATTTCTTGTGTTGGAGGAGACTTTATACATTTGTCAGGTTTTCGGCCTTTTGGTCCTTTTATGTTCTTAGTCCATTTCATTGTTGTTCTAATGTTTTTACCAAGGAATGAACAAGAAAAGAGAAAGGAAGGAAAAAAAATGTGTTAATTGTTTTCTTTTAATGGTATGTCAGTGGAAGGGGTTCTGACTCTAAGCTAATGTGCACTTGTTGTGCCTGTCCTCTTTGTCTTAAATTAAAGTTGGTGGTATGAATCAAAAAGTGTTTATTGGTTTAAAAAGCAGTTTATGATATGAAACGGTCTTCCAGTTTTTATATCAACTCCTTTGCTTTCAACAGTCAGTTCAAAGCACCATTTATTGATCATTTATTGTATTCCAGACACTGTATTTTTTCTTTACTTATTACTCTACTTAATCCTCAACACAATTTTATGAAGTAGGTATTGTTAATCGACCTGAAACTGGCATTTCTCCATCCTTTTATGGTGTTGTCATTGAAAAGTCTCAGATGTGTAACATGTACTAGAATTAGATAATTCTCAAAGAAAGACTGCAACTGCAACTCATTTCCCTCTGAGAAAAAATACCACTGACTAGATTACATATCTAGTTCCAGACCAGAATCTATTGCAACTCATTTCCCTCTGAGAAAAAATACCACTGACTAGATTACATATCTAGTTCCAGACCAGAA